ATCCTTGATTTTATAACACTTTACCTCTATGAGCAGGTTATCTAGGCAGAGCAATAACAATAGCTAATTGATTAGTCAAGGTCCTATAGGCATGATTTCTAGGTAAAAATAGAACATAAGCTAGTGAGATCCTATAGGCAGGGTATCTAATGAATATGCTAAAATCATACAAATCAAAAGAAAGTTCACTGGCATTTATTTCCTGTATGCTGTCTAGTAGCACATATCAGTAGAATAAATAGAGGGTTTACACCCGTGCTTTGATGGTAGACAAGTTATGTGAGTGTGTGAGTTTCCTAAAGGCATGATTTCTACCAGTGGAAGTTAAATGGCATATACAACAAGTTGGATAACAAGTAAATCACATGAATCCTATGGGCATGTTTTCTACCCTTGCATGCAAATATCAGAGTATACTCGTTCCCCAGTTTCACTATCACGCATATTGTTCATTACAAAGTTATTACAGACCCAATGATGAGCTTAATTACAAAATATTATTCAAGCAATGACAGTAGGCCACAGCGGGTGCAAAAGGAAATACCCAGCAATTCCTAGGCCTTCAACAACTCTCACATAGCATACCCAGATTCCCAACAGGGAACTATATTCATCAGCACAACCCAGAAGCCCTAGGAGAACTCAAGCCAAACCAAACAGCTATAGATTGACCAATATTACCCAGACATTGAATCACTTAAACCAACCAGTTTACATATTTAGTAGACAGTAGGAAGAAAGAGCTGAATGTCAGAGATAGCTCAGGTCTCAGTAGTAAAGAGAGTGGCTAAAAGACCCCAAATCCTAGCGTGTCATTATTCACAAGGGTCTCAAATGGACCCCGAGCAGTGCTCACACTAGGGAGGTCAGTAGTAAGAGTCTTAGTGGCCTTGGCTTTCAGCCGGCCTAGAATGATAGGTTCAGAATATCACAGGTAACAAATGAGAGGGAGTGGACAGTGGTAAAGGGACAGAAGTTGAGGAAATGCACTTATAGGTTAGAAAGCAGACATAGCAAAGTTGAGAACACAGAACAGTTAATCAAAAGTCAAGAAGATTTAGAAGCAGATGCAACACTTAGCAAAAATAACACATTGGCAGAAAGCACATTGGGAGTTAGAGGAGAATCAAGTTCCCTGAGATTACAAGATCAACCAGATTATCATACTAAGTTGCATATTATCAAACAACTCTAAGTGGGGTACTAACTTAAAAGGTTTAAAGCTTAAAGATCTAAATTATGCTAAGGATTCATCACAATATAAGACAGCCCTGTTAACTTATATCATGAAGCAGAAAAGTATCTAACATGGTATGGAAACACAAACTAAGATAACCATTCTAAAGTTTTCAAACAGTTACTAAGGATATATGATTAAGCAAAATAAAGACATGCTGTGAGACACATCAACGGGGGGGAGGTGCAGATCATAGTTGATAGAAAAAGTCTTAACATAGATTAGAACACATTACATGTGCAAGTCTGTCGTTACATAGATTCAGAACAAAGTGGGAAAGCAAGCTCATGTCACATAGCAAACGTAGGCATTCAGGTATTGACATAGTAGACTAATGCACTTAAGAGGGTTCAAATTATTCAAATTAGGCATAAACATGTCTCAGAACTGGCAGCATTAGGTAAAATTAAATACTAAAGAGGTTCAAAACAAATGCAAAACTAATCAAAGTTGCATACAAAAGTAGCCCAAAACACATTAAGCCATGAATTTCAGAGGTAAGAATGTGCGAATCATAAACATATAAGAACGAAATTGCAAAGCCAAATGACTTACCATTTAAACGGACAATAAGAAAGAATAAATTCCACAATGTTTTTGAGTATCAACAAAGAACAAGAACCCATAATCTCAATACATCAAAGTTTTCAAGGGCTTCAAAGGAACCCCGGGCAGTGCTCGCACCAAGAAAAGGTTGGAAAGTCGAATCCCGGTGGCTTTGGCTTTCAGCCGGCCAAGAACCAAGGTGTAAAACAAGAGAACGAGAGAACAATAAAGTTATAGCTCCAATTTTTAGTGAAAATCTAGCGATTAAGTCCGTCTCAAAGGGGAATGTGGAGGGGTTTATATAGTGACAAAAATCGAACAAGTAAACAAGGAAACACTGTAAAATCAAACATAAATAAGGAAGTAATAACATACAGAATCAATAAAAATCGGATTAGGGAAAAAAAATAGGTAAACCCTAGTTGACAAAAATCGAAAATTGGCCGGAAATCCTGGCTAATCGGACCCATATAGCCTGGTCATGATGTATATGGACTAAATACTGTCCAGATTCAAGCGATTGAAGTTGAACGGACCCAAATCTGAGAGATAGTACTTGCCAAGTTTAGGCAAGTACCAAGTGATCCATAGCCTTGCAAGTAGTACCGAGATAACACATAAAAGATAAGGAAATCATGGAAAGAATCCATGATTGAGACGGATTTGGAGAAAATTGAGAGGTCGGCTAGGGTTTTTGAGGAGAGGAGACGAGAGGATTCAAAGGCGGCGTCTGGGAGGAAGATGATAGGGTTTTGGGGCGGGTTAGGTTAATTAAAATAGGGGAATGGATATGGGCCGTTGATCATTTGAGATCAACGACCAGGATTAGAGGAGAAGCGGGTGGGTCACGGAACGGGTCCCGACGGGTTATAACTAAAGGGGTCGTTTGGTCTTGGGCCAGGGGGTTGGGCTAAGGATACTGGGCCAATTTTGGTCCAAAAAATTAGTTTAAATCTGGGCTATTATTTAAATAGGCAATATTTATCGAAAGTAACTTATAAAAATGATTAATAAATAAATAAGAATATTATTTATGCACTAAAATGATTAAAAATAATAACTTAGTATTATAAAAAATATAAAATACTATTTTGACACAAATAATATAAATAAAGAGCATTTATGTTTGAATAAGGGTTATTACTGCAAAATTGTGCAAATAGCCTTTAAAATACTAATGTAATTATATAAAAAAAAATGAAGTAAAATATTTGAAACCTGTGTTATAGGTGCAAATAATAATTTTAGGTAACTAAGTCATCACAAAATAATTTGAAGGAGTAATTAATAATTATTCAAGTAATTTAAGTACACGGAAATCAATTTAAAAACTCTAAAAATTATGGAAAATTATAGAAAATGCTCGTATAGATTTGTAAACTAAATAATGATGCAAAAAAATGATATTGAAAGTATATATATTATTTGAGAAAATATGAGGGCAAAATTGGGCATCAACACTCGTCACAAAAACTTGGTTCATTTGCTTGGTTTTTGCTTGGAGGGATCTGAAAAGATTCTTGTATACGAGTACAAGAGCAATGGATCACTTGCAGATATCCTATTTAATTCTGAAACAAGACCTTCTTGGGAGCAAAGGATGAGGCTTGCACTTGACATATCAATGGGAATACTTTATTTGCATGAAGAATGCGAGACTTGCATAATTCACTGCAACATAAAGCCACACAATGTCCTTGTAGATGACTTGTGGACGGCTAAAATCTCTGATTTTGGGCTAGCAAAGTTTTTGGTTCCTAATCAAGTAGGGAACCAACTTCAGCTCAAAAAAAGAGAGTATTTGGCACCAGAGTTGCAGAATAGCGCCTTAATCTCTGACAAGGTAGATGTTTATAGCTATGGAGTGAAGCTCTTGGAGATCATATGCTGTAGAAGTAATATGGATATCAATGTCTCAACTGAGGATGAGATCTTTCTTCCTACTTGGGTACACAAATGCTTTGTCGAAAATGATCTCATGATAATCCTGATCTGCGCCCTTCTATGAGTAATTCTCATGTTAGAAGGAATTATGGACATACCATTTTTAGCATACACAAACATTGTTTAGGTTTCTTATGTCTTATGTATATTGTAATATACTGGTGTATAATGAAGCATAAATTTTACTTTGTAATAGAATGTCAAGCATTTTATTTATGTGAACCAAAACCAGTTTGAACGTGGCGCTTTGTTGCAAAATATGTTCTTACTTCTAACCTCTTTGATCTTGGTCTTCATATTAGACCTTTGTACTTTAATTGTAAACAAGGGAAAGGAAAACAAAAGAATGAAAAATTAAAATATGAAAATAGAGAATTTAGAAACAATATTTTCTACTAATATGGACCAAAGGGAGTAGTTAATGTTTATTTCTTTGTAGTCCTTTTCAGCCTTTATTTTCAAAGTTAGAATTCTTACGCATGGAAAGTTTAAAGATAGAATTAATTGTCCTTTTCTCAGGTCTTTCATCAGACTTTTCTCATGGAAGACTTTTCGATTAAAATATTTCTCTGCTTGTTTATAGTTTTCTATTGATGCTAACCCATTAAGAAAACCTAATGGTTGACTTGACCAAGTAATATTCCCAGTTTCTTCTTGGATATTTCTTGAGAAGAGATTTTCTGGCTGTCTTTATTGTTTCTATAGTTTTCTTTTTTACATATACTTTTTCTTTTTCTTATTTTGTCAAGGATGGGGTTAAAACCATGCTAAGAGTTAAAACTTGTGCTGTTTTCTCTCACTTCACTACAAGAAATCAGGCTTTTAGTGGCACCAAAATTCGCTACAAAAGATCAGAATGTCGCAGCTAAAGGTTTTTAGGGCGACCACGGGTTGCAGCAAGTACTTGCGTAACTGAATGTTTCTTATGACGACTTCGGAAGGTCACCACAAAAAAAGACCGCATTAGTCGCGACGTAACCTGCCACTAAAAGTAAACAAAGACGCCACAAATAACAATTCACAAGTGGGATTTCGAGGGTCGCCACTGAAAAGAAGACTTTAGCAGCGACAAAGTCGCCACTAATACTTTAGTAGCGACATTAGATCGCCACAACAGAGAACTTAAATTTCCTGTATCTCTTTTAGAGGCGACTAAGGGTTGCCACAATACAAACTTTTCGTTTAAAAAAAACTAATATAAAATCTATTTTACTATTAATTATCCAATATATAATAGTAGTCCATTACCAATACAAAGACAATACCACCTACATTTCTCAAGAAGAGTAGCATAAGAACTTTTCATAACTCAAATGTCATAATACAAAGACACCACTTCATAAATACATGTCATGGTATCTACACATGAAAACAAAAGAATCACAAGATATCTTCAAACTCCTCCTTGCCAACCATTCCCATTATAAACAACGTTGTCCCTGAAATTGAAAAAAAAAAAAAAGAATGAAAGCAAGGCTTCATGTCGATAACATCATATTATGCATGAAAGGGTTTGAGAAAAATCTAGTATCATCTTGAAAGATGGCAGAAATTGAAGTGCTACATATCATGAGTGCGAGAAATTCTATTTTTTCAGTGTATTCACCATTCAATAAGAACTTTTTTACTCACTGCATGGGAAAATTGTCACTAATCTTCTCCATATGTACAAACAATTTTCAATAGATGGCCTTTTGATTTTACTTATTCTCTCTATGAATTTAAACAATTAAGTACTTAATAAGGCAGTCGATACCTTAAGTAGCTCAAACATTCTAAATATAAGCACTAACGCCTTACCTCTATGATGAATATGTCCAAAAGAGATGAGTTTTTCCAAGTGCCATTGCAAACTTACAAAAAATTCAATCACCTTGAATAACATAGAAATTGAGACTTTCTAGAGGGTGCAGAACAAAGAAAAGGGTAATGAAGTTCATAATAGCACCTAAAATGATTACAATTCAATTTTAGAGGGGTATGCTTGCTGTACAAAAAAAGTCTTTTAACAAAGTTGTCAATATATGTATCTATTCAACATCAACAAAGCAAATATACAATAAATATATGTAGTAAATTTCATAAGCAATAGAAAAAAAGTCACAGAAACTTACCACACTAGCAGTAGGATGATCAGATGAAACAGTCTTATGGCATGTAGCAACTCAAAGATTGACTTTCTTTTACTGATTAATCAAAGTTCACCTCTACTATTCTCAAATTAACACAACTCTTCATGTCTAAGCTACAATTAATAAGATCAAATTACTCAAATGATTTGCATCCGTGGAAATTCAGCTACTCTGCATCAAAAACTTATTGATGAAACCAACTAATGAATGGTTTAAAAGTAATTTACACAAAATCCTCTAAATTCATAAAAGAACGGAAAGAGACAGGAGACGTACCGATTCCCTGAGAGGCAAAACTAGAGCATAAGAGATACAGATTTCTGGGGAAGAGAGCAGGATAGCCGTGAAGAAGTGGGTACAATACCGACGATTACAGTCGTTGGTCGACGGCTATGAACTAGATCTATGAAGAAGAGGGGCCGTAGGCGCTAGGATTTTGTTCTTCATGGGAAACACTAAAGTAAAGAAAGAGAATTAAAAAGAAAATGAATCTAAAGAAGGGTTTCTTACTTTCTCAATTTTTATTTTCTTAATTTTAGAGGTTTGATTTAGCAATAATAAAAATATCGCCGCAGGAGCGCTACTAATTGGGGCGACATAGTCGCCTCTAAAATACCTCTAGTGGCAACTCCACACTAATCGCCTCAAAAAACGTTTGAGCCAAGAATATTTTCGGAGGGAAAGAAAAAATGAGGTTTATTTGTGGAGATATATTTTTAGTCGCCACTAAAACACAACTTTAGTGGTGGATAAAAAGGTCGCCACTAATTTCAATTTTGCGACAAGTTTTGATGTCGCCACTAAAAGTTGCCACATAAAACCTAATTTCTTATAGTGCCTCAATACCATGTCTCTATATTTCTTCCTTGTAGCTAGAGCTCAATCAAAGCCACCTAATACAATAGGATTAGGATCTTCTCTTCATCCCACTACTCAGCCTACAGCGTGGTACTCAGCTTATGGTCATTTCACCTTTGGTTTTTATCCACAAGGAAGTGGTTACAAGGTGGGAATTTGGCTAGTGGGAGGCTCCAATAACAATGATACTTATATACGGTCGAAATAGATTTCGGTTTTCGTACGATCGGTCGAAGTCAAAACGTAATAGATCGGAGTAAGACTTCAAAATGGGTTCCGAAGATGGTACAAACAACCTTCGAGCCCGAAGGACCGATCAATGTCGAGCTCGATATCATTATCAAGCTCGAATCCAAATCGAACTATGATGCAAAGTAAAGTTATCGAGCTTATGATTCAGAGACCGACCAACCCTGACCCCGAACCAATGCAAGGATCCGAGTCAAAATCGAGCTCAAGTCAAGATCGAGAGCTTGAGTCGAGACCGAAAACTCGAGTCAATATCGAGCTTATAGACAAGAGTCATTGCAATCCCACTAGAGGAGAGAATCCTGGCAGAAATTATGGAAAAGCTTATCATGGGTCTCCCACTATGTATTTTTAATTACATCTAAAGTAAGGTCTTTCTACTATAAAGGAAATGGTTATTATTTCTGTAAGGAGAGTTTTTTTTTACATTGTAATTCAAGCACCATATTCTCATATAGAGAAGAGTTGTTCTTCTAAGCTTCATAAATTGGTTCAACCTGTTCAGTCCTAAAAATCATCTTCTTTACAACCGTGTTTACTTTGTACTATTTGCAATCCATATTTGATATTTCTATTTATCCTTACGGTTTGTATTAAGATATAACACATATCCTTAGAATACGTATAAATTTAACTCTATCCGTTTTTCGGATAAAACAGTTTGGCGCCCACTGTGGGGCTAAGGATAACACTATTTGTTTGATACAAATCTGCAACACACATCAGTTTACGCTCGTCTTTTGAGGGTGTTTCTGACTTCGAACTAGCAATGGCAAACCCTCGATTAATGGTTTTACCTACCGACAACGAAGCCGGCCTTCAAGACGAAACCAATAACTAATGCCCAGGGTCGGAAGGTCGCTTATCGATGTCATTGAAGCTCGAGTCGAAGTACCTAAAGCTCGAGCCGAAGTACCGCTAGATGTCAACTCGCATGTGGCCTTTGAGACTCCCATAATGTAGAGGAGAACAGAGTTAGCTTGCATATGATCTTTGATATGATACAAGCCCAGCAGGTAGCGATAGCTTAGTTGCAGAGCCAAACCCAGCTACCAAGCAGACCGAAACCCAGTCCACCTCGAGAAATTGCCCATCGAACGGAGCCAGCTGTAGTAAGGTCGAACGAGCAAGAATCGGGGACTACTCTTGAAATTGCTAAAATACTTGAGGAGCTCACAAAGCGAATCGAAGCCAATGATAAGAAAGTAAAAACATATAATTCCAGGGTCGATCAAATCCCAGGGGCTCCGCCCATAATAAAAGGGTTGGATTCCAAGAAATTCATAAAAATGCCTTTTCCCTCAAGTGCAGCCCCAAAACGAATCCCCAAAAAATTCCGTATGCCTGAAATCCCCAAATATAACGGTATGACCGATCCCAACGAACACGTCACCTCTTACACAAGTGCCATCAAGGGTAACGATTTGGAAGACGATGAAATCGAATCCGTGTTGTTAAAAAAATTCGGAGAGACCCTCTAGAAGAGGGAAATGATTTGGTATCGTAACCTGCCACCAAATTCCATCGATTCATTTGCCATGTTAGCGGATTCATTTGTAAAGGCACACACCGGTGCCATAAAGGTTGCAACGAGGAAATCAGACCTTTTCAAAGTAAAACAAAGGGATAATGAAATGCTTAGGGAGTTCGTGTCCCGATTTCAAATGGCACGCATGGAATTACCACCGGTCACAGACGATTGGGCCGTCTAAGCTTTTACTCAAGGGTTGAACGAGCGAAGCTCGATGGCATCATGTCGGCTGAAACAAAATTTGATCGAGTACCCGGTAATAACTTGGGGAGATGTGCACAATTGATAACAATCAAAGATTAGGGTCGAAGACGACCAATTAGGAACTCTTTCCGGATCCGCACATCCAAACAGGTCGGCTATTAAAAAACAGATGGACATCGATAGAGAACCGAGGTCGAACAGAGACCGATATCATCCATACTTCATAGATCGAATGAATAATGGCTTGACACACAATGCCGCCCGGAACAATCGAAGGAGTGATCGAAGATAGAATTCTCGAGGACTGATGAGCAAGAATGGCTTTGACAAACATGCCGGTCATAGGGAGGCACCTCGGTTATTGGAGTATAACTTCAATATCGATGCATCGAGTATTGTATCGGCAATCGGAAGAATCAAAGATACTAGGTGGCCCAGACCCATGCAAACTGATCCTTCCCAAAGATACCCAAATTCTATGTGCGAATATCATGGTACGCATGGCCACATGGCCGAGGACTGCAGACAGTTAAGGGAGGAGGTAGCTCATCTATTCAGTGAAGGCCACCTTCGAGAATTCCTCAGTGATCGAGCCAAGAATCACTTTAGAGAAAGGGGCTCCAACAGAAAGGACAAATAAGAGGAACCTCAACATATCATTCACATGATCATCTGCGGGGTCGACACTCCACAGAGACCCGCACTCAAATGCACTAAGGTATCGGCCACAGGGAAAAAATGAACCCGAGATTATGTGTCAAAAGGCACTTTATCGTTCGAAAACGAAGAAGCAGAAGGCATCTCTCAGCCCCACAACGACGCTCTGGTAATTTTTATCCTATTAAATAAAGTTCAGGTAAGCGTGTTTTGGTGGATCCAGGTAGCTCTGCGAATATCATCCGATCAAGGGCCGTGGAACAGCTCGGTCTGCAAAATCAAGTCGTGCTCGCAACTCGGGTCTTAAATGACTTCAATATGGCCAGCGAAAAGACTAAAGGGGAAATTATTCTACCAGTGAACGTGGCCGGAACCATCCAAAACATAAAGTTCCACATAATCGAAGGCGACATGAGATATAATGCCCTACTCGGAAGGCCTTGGATCCATAACATGAGGGCAGTACCTTCGACTCTCCACCAAGTAATTAAATTCCCAACGTCGGACGGCGTGAAAACAATGTACGGGGAGCAGCATGTGGCGAAGGAAATGTTTGCAGTCGATGAGGTAACACCGATATCAACATTATTAGCCTCAAAAAGATCGAGCATTAGAAATGTACGTGAGGCCAAATAGCAATCACAGCCGCCAGTCTCGACCAAATCGGTGAAGCAGGAAACCGAAGATGACGAGGAAGATTTCCTAACTCCCCGAACTTTTATCATCCCCGAGGATTCTGACGCCACCAAATCGACGGTCGAAGAGCTGGAACAGGTTATATTGATCGAACATCTACCATAAAGAAAGGTATACTTGGGAACGGGATTGACCTCCGAACTCAGGAAAAACCTTATTCAATTTCTTATTGATAACATAGATTGCTTTGCTTGGTCCCACGTAGACATGAAAGGAATCCCACCATCGATAACAATGCACCGACTGATCTTGGACCCTAGGTTCAGACCGGTGAAGCAAAAAAGAAGACCTCAGTCCGAATTAAAGCACGCATTTTTGAAGGACGAGGTAAGTAAATTTCTCAAAATAGGGTCGATTCGGGAAGTAAAATATCCCGAATGGTTAGCTAATGTAGTTGTAGTCCCTAAAAAAGGGAACAAACTCAAAATGTGTGTAGACTATAAAGATCTAAACAACGCATGCCCCAAAGATTCTTTTTCACTGCCTAACATCGATCGGATGATCGATGCCACAGCCAGCCACGAGATCCTTACTTTTCTCGATGCTTATTCCGGGTACAATCAAATTCGAATGAACCCGAAGGACCAAGAAAAAACTTTGTTTATCACCAAGTATGGAACATATTGTTATAATATAATGCCCTTCGGGCTAAAAATAACACAGGAGCTACTTATCAACGCCTAGTAAATAAAATATTCGAAAAAAAAATAGGTGAGTCGATGGAAGTTTATATTGATGACATGCTAGTCAAGTCCCTGCGCGCAGAGGACCACTTAAGTCATTTGCAGGAGACGTTTGAGATTTTAAGGAAATATAACATGAAGCTCAACCCCGAGAAATGTGCTTTCGGGGTTGGCTCGGGCAAATTCCGTGGCTTCATGGTATCAAATCGGGAAATCGAGATCAATCCCGATAAAATCAAGGCCATCGAAGGCATCACCATCGTGGATAGTGTGAAAGCGGTGCAAAAGCTAATCGGACGGATAGCTGCCCTAGGCCGATTCATTTCGAGGTCATCGGATCGAAGCCATAGATTTTTCTCTCTACTCAAAAAGAAGAACGACTTCGCTTGGACCCCGTAATGCCAACAAGTTTTAGAACAATTGAAGCAATACCTGTCGAGCCCGCCACTGCTTCACACTCCGAAGACAGATGAAAGACTTTACTTATACTTGGCCGTATCGGAAATCGCAGTAAGTGGTGTCCTAGTTCGAGAAGAGCAAGGTACATAATTTCCTGTTTATTACGTAAGTCGAACTTTAGGAGAGGCAGAGACTAGATATCCACACTTAGAGAAATTAGCACTCGCACTGATAAGCGCTTCTAGGAAATTAAGACCATACTTTCAATGTCACCCCATATGCGTGTTAACAACTTACCCACTTTATAATATTTTACACAAGCCTGAACTATTGGGCCGATTGGCCAAAAGGGCTGTCGAACTCAGCGGGTACGATA